TTCTTAGTTTTTATTGGAATAAAGCGGGTGATACAAAAATGCACAAGAGTTTCAAAGAAAGAAACCAAATCATTGACGTCGCTAGATTCACTAAGCCGTTCAAAATTTTCAAATGAATCCTCTAGAACTGTTAGGATACTGACGTCATCTGCACGGTTAAAGTCATGATGAGTTGAATACACAATATTCGGTGTGGGTACACGACATGAGAGTGAGACGATAACGGCTTTATGATCGGAAATTCCTTCAGTGACAAGGCAGTTAAACGTGCTTTCTAAGAGAGTAGGGCTAACAAAGACTAAATCGAGAACTGCAGACTCTCTTGTAAATTCTCGAACAACTTGGGTTAGGCCGAGAAACAGAGAAAATTTCAGCAGCTCTGTGTCTGTTAGAGAGGGTGAATCGCTTAAAGACAGGGTGGACCATTGAATTCCAGGCGCGTTAAAGTCTCCCATAAGGATTATATTTCCGCTACTATAGTTATGCTCACTAATAAAATTTGTCAAGGTGATCAAAGAATCCGCTGACGATCCCGGAGATCAGTAAAAAACGCCTATTATGACAGTGATGTGCTCAAAGTAAAATTTGCACCACACTGACTCTATTCCGATACGCGCTTGAATTGCACGAAACTTCAAGTCTGAACGAAAAAAAAGTGCCACCCCACCTCCTCGCCAACTGTACCTGTCCGACCGAAGTACGGTAAATCCAGGGGGAGTGATTTCACTATCATGGATACTCTCATGCAGCCAGGTCTCAGTGACACCAACAATGCGCGCTCCATGTGCTAAAATTATTGATAAGAAATCAGGAAACTTCTTTACTATACTTCTAGCTTCGATGTTTAAGAGGTGTAAGTTAGCGTTCTTCTGTTGTGGTAGTCATCGAGGACCGGGAGGAGGGAGTGCAGTTTTAATACCTTTTGTGCGGCTGTTGGATCGAATGAGACAGTTAGAAGCATTGTCCCAGTCGTGACGAACATTGTCAATAAAGATGTGATCGTAGATAATGCGGACGTTTGTTCCAGCATCTCTAAATGACTTTGTTGCTTCCCACAATTTTTTACGTATTATGTGTACGCGAGCTGTAAAATCCTCAGTAACGCGAACATTTGGGTCTTCGATGTTCCCGGCACTTTTCATAATCGCAACTTTGTCGTTGAAATTGAGGAGTTTAATGATAGTAGAAGATTCGCGGGCATTCCATTTCAAGTTCATCTGTAATCAACTGTGACACCTTTGAAAGCAGTGACGCATTTGTTTCCTCGGGTTGTTTCGAAATGCCATGAAAAATAACGTTGTTTCTCCGGGATCGGTTTTCTAGGTCATCATTTTTTTGCGGTAAGTTGTTCCACGATGTATTTCACTGAGTTAAGTTCTTGTTTTAGGGAACAGGTTCCCTCAGAAACAGCTGCTGATGCGGAGGTTGAGAGAAGCCACTCGAGATTTGAGGGCATCAAATCTAGAATTTACGGATTGATGAAATTGCTTGATTTCAGCTATATCGTCAGCTAGTTTTTTCTGTCCTGATAGTAGCTCATTCAACATGCTTTTAACAGAAGCAATGCTGTCTGTCTCCTCAAGCTTTTCGTTGTTATCCATTGCCGAAAGGTTAGTGGCAGAACTGCTGCTTGAAGCAACATTACTGCCTTTGTTGGCTGAAATAAACTTTGCCTGTCTCTGAGGGCCTGGATTTGTTTCTACACACCCGCTCTGAAGCAGTGTGCAAATGCAATGGAATAGATGCGAAAGCAATGAAAGGCACTTCATAGCAAGACCATCAGAACAGTCAAATGGGCAAAGAAACAGCAGCAAGAAGCGATTATCAGAGCGAAAGCAGTAAGCATTTTGGAGGTAGTTTACCTGCGCAAAGAAAACACGACGGATGAGCATCGTCGAAGCTTCGCTGTTTCCTTGCCCAATGACGTGCAGATGTGGCGGTGGTGCTTTTATATCCGCGACCGGTGACGTCACGAAATGGAACTTGACGAACGATGGACGGTGAAGCGAGGCATTATCAGTGCAAGGGGTGGGTGCCTTCACCGACAGGCCGTGACCATCGTCTAGTGGGGCGATGGGGCAGTCTGTGAGCACGCAAACTGTAGCGTCCATGTGCTGTTCCAACGGTAGAAACATTATTCCGGACACCGGGGTTGGGAAGTCAGGCACAGTAGCAGTGCGGCAAATTGAAGCACCCAAGCTGGCGTAGAAGAACTGCGCAAAGAAAACACGACGGATGAGCATCGTCGAAGCTTCGCTGTTTCCTTGCCCACTCTTCCACTGGTTCAGCCAATTAGTTTTTATGGACTTCAAGACATGAACAGTGTCCAATATAAGAAACAGTGGAGGAAACGGATCAGCCAGATGCTGGTATACAATGCTTAGCTTGAGAGGGTGAGCGAAAAACTTCGTTGCTTTCCGAATGATTAAGTTTTTCTCCGAGACAACTTTTGTGACTCTGAATCATGATAACTCTAAACCACTGATTAGCATGCGTAAAGCTCTTGCAAAGCGTTCACATCCATCTGGGCCACTGGCCAAATGTGAACAACATATTTGTGATCAGAGGGAAGGCTTTGTATCATGAAAACATGCACTGTTTTAATTAGACAGGAATTGTTGGCAGCAGCAACTGTGATGGAACCACCATTATAACCAAAGTGCGCTTTTAAATGGATCTTAATAATTTAAATGCGTCACAGTTCGCTCGTGGTCTTCCATCACATTTACGAGAGACTCTGCGTAGTCAAGGAAAGAGGAGTCAATCGCTCTAGGGCACGGCTCAGTTCAGCGAATGTGCCTTACGCTAGTAGGGTGGAGTATTTTCACTTCCATAGAGCTTCGGATAAAGTTCTAAACATGCTGTGTTATAGTGAACAGCTGTCCTGCAACAACCAGTTCTTTGGGTGTGCCTTGGAGAATTTTTCAAAATAATCTCCACTTTGCGGCTTTCAAACTTCAGTAATTTCAAGTGCCGTCAATATAATTCCTGTAACTGGTACTCACTGCACACATCCTGCAGCAGCATTACCACAATTTTGAGAAGACGGTGAGCTTTCTCGCTGTCATCGGCAGAGCAGCTCACCTGTAGCAGCTCAACAGACTTCAATGCATCATTCAGCTGCTTGAGATCTCGCAAGAGTGAGGGCACATCGACACCGGGAACGTTCTCGATGTGGGCTTCTCCGATAAACAGATCAATGCACAGGTCCACTGACACAGTCACGGAACTACGCACAGCGATTAATTGCTTGATATGTGGGGTTTAACGTCCCAAAACCACTTATGAATATGGCAGACGCCGTAGTAGAGGTCTCTTGAAATTTGGGCCACCTGAGGTTCTTCAACGTGCACCCAAATCTGAGCACACGGGCCTACATTTCCGCCTTCATCAGAAATACAGCCGCCACAGCCGGGCTTTAATCCCGCGACTTGCGGGTCAGCAGCCCAGTACCTTAGCCATTAGAACACCGCGGAGGGGCTACGCAGAGCGAGGGCACGCTCGAATGCTAGGTCTAAAACAGAATATTTGTGTCCTTGATAAGCATCATCCAGGATTACTACAATGAAAAGTTTGAATGACCACGGCGAACCTCCGCGAAGCTGCCAACTTTCTTTTTCCTATAATCCTAATCTTGTGCAGCTAGAGAATGCTGAAGAGCTGTTCGCAATCATGCCGCCTCTAATCGGGCTTTTTTTTTCTTTGGATGCCTCTCGAGTGGATGGTGCATGACCTGACATATACTTGGGCCAGTTGGAAAACACGCTCGGGACTGAGATTTATTTTAGGCGAATGCATTCCAGTGGCACTTCAATCGCCTTGCCAGTCTTCGTTTCTTCGCAAGTTGCCACTCTGATGAAGTTTGTTGGAGCGAAATGTTTTTCGCAGAGCTGAATAAGAAATCAAGACATGATTTTATAGCCGCATAATTCATCAAAAGGTCTACGCAAGCAGTAAACATGAACGCTAACCACGCATATTTCTATAAACAAGAGCGCTAGTTTGCTGCATATAATAAAGAAAGATCTTGACAAACTTACCTAGTTGTAAATGCATGTCGTGTCATAAATGTTTACGCGCACTACTGTATGCATAGAAGGCGTAAAATGTTCTCTAGAAATCGTCTTTGGCCACGCTGCTCTCCACCGTGGGTCACTTGGGAACCTGTACATCTGTGCACTCGAATAACCTACATCGTTGTCGGAATTTCGATTCGAAGCACAACAAAATCCAGGCATACTAAACTCTGAGAACACACTGCTTTTATCGCCACCGTAGCGACACCGTAGCCTCTAAACCAGCGCCTGCGGACACATGCGGGCCGCCACCACCGCACACAATTTGGGAGTTTCTGCGTGCGGTACGCGAACGCGAACGCCGACCCGCGTTACGACGCATGCGCAGTGGCAGCGATCGTACCGCAAGGGCTCGCAGTGCACTATTCTAAAACTCGCTATTAACCTTTTGCGTTCTGCAGCGCACAGCAAAATGGTTCTGCCTGCCGCACTTTGCGCACGTCTTTTTTAACGCTAGACATTTCCTAGGTGGGTGGAACCTATTGGAGTAGATGCATGAACGGGTTGGCGGTTTTTTAGCTTCCAATTGGTTACGTTTCTTCACGACGCAGGCCTTCGCTTGGCTTTCTTCCTTGTCCCGACGTTGTTCTTGGTTTACTGCAAGCTCAGCTGCTTTGCGAAAATCTATAGCCTTGGAGAGCCTCAAATATTTTCTCTTAGGAGGCGTGACTTTACCTTCTTATCCTTCGTCCCACACTGTAAAAACGGGGCGTCATTTTGACAACCATCTCTTCATCAATTTTGACAAGTCGTTTGCGTCAAACGGAAAAGATGGGGGCTCCGCTGTCACTTAGCGAGTGATGAGAAGCAGGGTTGAGAGACAGAAAGGGAAAAAAGCTTTCAGTGCGCTTCGGTTGGCTACCACACGTCATGTGACACCTCACTCTCTGTCGCGCCCCTTTGAGGTCACCACTCCACGAGACAATGGAAAGGAGGCTGCCGCTGCTGGCCAGAGAGAGAGAGAGAGGGACAGTCGAGGGAGCCGGTTCATGCATTGCCAGCCTGTTCCTTCATGTTGCTTGGACCTTTGTGCGTTTTTTTTTTTTTTTGCTTCGGGAAGAAGCCTGCTTCTTGGTGCGCCATTTTGTCTCATTTTTCGCGTTGTGTACTAGAAAGAATGAGGGCCCGTCTAACGCGCGTTCTGCTCGGCGCTCCAGCCTAAAACCAGGTGCTAGGTGAGTGCGCTTATATGCTTTTTATCTCTTCACATCTTTCGGCTGTCGATGGTATTAACACGTCACCTATTTTGCGAGTAGCGAAGAAAGAAGCACTAGTTTTTGCGGGTAGTTGAGTTGAATTCTTTTGCGCGTCTATGCGAATTCTCTCTTTGCAGTATTCATTCGAGGGACGTGCATGCACCGTTGGAGTTAGCCCGACACCTCCGCCTTGGGAGGTACTTTCGCGCCGAGGCTGAACCACGTGCAGCGAGTTTCAGGCTTCTGCTGTCTAATAATACTAAAAAAAAAGGTCCTATTTTTGTGAAAAAAGAAGAAAGCGTGAGCGTACGAGGAGCATTAGCGCGTGTTTATTGTACTTACCGCACCCTATCGATCGCGATTGAAAGTGATTAACGGGGCAAAGACCAGAATAGATTGGTCGAGTGCGTTATAATATGTACCGCTGAATACATTGTGATTACCTGATGACGTTTCGTAAGCGCTTTTTGTTTTCCTTTTCATGTGTTGGTTATAATACCTGCGCCATAAGCCCATGATGATCATCATTTTTCTGAGGAACTAAATATAGTGGACAATATAGCCGCGAATTCGTAAAATTATACATCAACCAGAAATAGTTTTTCTTGTCTAGTACTGTGGCGAAAAACTGCACCTCTTCCGCAATTTCTTACTCTGGTTCTCGACGGCTTGCTGACATAAAAAGCTGACGTTGGCATCTGATGGCGATGGCGCACTTCTACCCTGATTCGCGAATCGCAATCGAAAGTGACCTTAGCTTGTAAATGCACAAGGAAGCCTAAATACGTCGCGGAAAAAAACACCAAGGTGGGATAAACGGAGTGTATTTTGAAAACATTGTAGCAAGAGCAATCATGCGCGTGGGCTGATTGAATTATTTAAGAGAAAAGTTACTGCATATAAAACCAGCAGATATGACTTCGTAAAAATTGACAAATTTGAGTTAAGTGCAGCGTTATCGACATGTGCAAGCACTTAAAACGCAGTATGTTAAGGACGACTCTTTAGGATGTGTCAAGTGCTTGCAAGTTTGTATGCACGTTACTGCATGCAACTGTCTAATAGACATCATTCACTGACTGCTAATAGCTTCAATCATCTTTGTTCACAGGCCTGGTCTTAAGGGTCAACAGACACCTTCCGGCGTAGACGGGTCAATTTCAAGCATAATTGGTCATTGTGTCACTGCAACTTTCACATTGCAAAGCCAGGTATGTACTCAATGTCTCAAAACTTTTTATTTAGTCTACTTGATTTACCATTTTTGGTTACACATTCATTTCTTTTGTAAAGACAGACCAGATCCTAAGTAATGACTTTTAAAAAAATATCTCAAATTTGATGTCCGGGCCAACTCTCCCCATGCACCCAAGCCACAGTTGCTTGGCCTCACATTGAAGGAGGCCTTTATGGAAGTCGAAATTTCGTCTTATTATGAAGACGATAGTCTTTATTGGGGACCTTCGATGCCAAAATTTCGGTCTGTCTGTCTGTGTGCTTGTCTGTCTGTCTGTCTGTCTGTACATTTGTCTTTTTGTCCACTCTTAACCACATCGGGTACTCGCAACAGCCGACCCCATCCGCAGCGCCCACCATTATTACTCCACATTCAGCGTTCATACTTATGAAATTGTAAATTACAAAGTAATTATTGTGCATATCTGGGGTACTATAACAACACGTATATATTATGAATGTGCGTCTTTTACTAGGAAAGGCACTCATAGGTATTTTTAAGGACCATAGCGCTTATCACGCTGCGCTGACCAAGCAATGCTTGCACGAAAAGGCCAGTGTTTTCAACACTTTGCTAAGACCAGACGGTGGTGGCACCTACCAGTCACCTTGCGTTCTACACCTTATCACCTCTGAGACGGGTGCGCACACTAGTCTCAGAACCACGCGCTTTCTTTTCTAAAAAACTGCCAGATGGCTCTCATGTCCCACGTTTAACGTGACTTGATGCGCTCGTTCGCCTGCCCGCTCGAGGCACTCAAACGCAACGCCTCCAGAATACTATTCGCCGATTTTCTTGCGGAGAATATCAAACAAATCTTTTTTTTCACTCTCTCCACACGTAAGCTCATCGCATTTCGATGACATTTGCAGATTAACATGCAGATATTGGGCCAACTTTTCTTCTTTTAATTTGTCATGTATTTTCTCCCCCTGAGTAGTGTGTAGGCTTGTAAATTGACTGCATTATCAGCTACTTATGTTAAACAGTGCAAGGTGGCCCTTAGAAGTTTGTATATAATATGTGTGGTTTTGATAGGTATGTTTGGTTATTTGAATTTTTTTGCCGAGTCTAACTGATTTTTGCTTGTGAATTCCCAGCATGCAGGTGAAGAGACCCTGGAGAGGATGCCTGCAAAACCTCATCTAGCTGTCATTGGTGAGTATGTCATATATAATTTTTTTTCCTCAAAACATGACTTGTGTAGCTTGGCTTGTTATTCAATGCAAAAGTTCTTGGAAATATAGAAATGGGAAATTCGAGAACGTGGAGTGTTACTGGAGAAAACGTTTTGACAAGTAAACTTTTCTTCTTCAAGGCTGCAGCCTTCAAGAAGACAAGTACCCTTGTGGAAAGGCCGTCTTAAGCGACAATACATAATCATGAAGTTTCCAACCGAAATATTGTTTTTCTTTGGCCTGACTTGATCTGTAAACTGTGTTATATGCGGATGATGAGAGTGATTTTAGGCAGTCACAACCTGCTCCACAGGTAGGATGCACGTAATATTTAAAAAAAGAGGCCACCGCAATATGCAAAAACTCAGTGTTTCTCCATTTATATGAATAATTAGGCTCCCCAGCCACTCTCTAAACACTCAGCCAGACAGACTTCTGTCGAATACTTTCACCTTTAAATTGTGACATTTAACGCTAGAATGACTTGTCTCATAACATTGTGCCTATGCCAGCAAACTTAAACTACATTCTACATTCCTATTTCCTTTCCCACTAAAGATGTCTTTATCAAGAAGCCTATGATAGTTTGTTGATGCTGAACGTTGTTTTCTTTTTACTTCTTGTGCAATATCTGTTTGTAAAGCTATTCCCACTGACAGCTGTTATGTGTTTATCTAAGGGTAACACCTGAGTCATTCTAAGCCAAGTGTCCCAACCAATTCGGTGGCCTTGTCAAATGTATTGGGTCATCTTATTACAAACGTACCTGATCAATTTTCGACTATTTCCGATCATGCTAAAAAATTTTCAGGTATATGGAAATGTGAGTAGTAGTTATTAAGCCATTAAGTTTTGCAAACCAATTTTGTGTTGCCTACCAACAGGTCGAGTGGCAATATAGGTCGACCCCCCATGTTCACGTCACCGACAACGAAAAAAAAGGAAAACAACCCAAAATTGCTGAACGACATTTATTTGTGAATTGGGCGCACCACACCCCGATCGTCGGAGCTTTCCTTAATAACCATGGCAACAGTTCCTATTCGTCAGACAAAGCACCACTGTCTTTTGAAGACTAGAGTTTGTCGCTGGCCGCCTCCCACAGTGCGTTGTCTTCCGTGCCATATAGCGAGTTGCTGATGGAACATTTATTAAACGCATTTTTCACCATCGAATCTGGCAAGAAACGCCAAGCAAGGAGCACCCAGCCACAAATAGTCACAAGCGAAGGCCTCTGTAGGTGGCCGGTCGGTGTCTTTGGGTTGTCGCCGGACATCCACGTTTGTTACTCTAGCCACACTTGGTCCCTAACGGCTTGTTTAGCACAACGTCGATCGGTTGGAGGGTGGACTTCATACCACCGGGTATCACAGTGAGAACCGTTTTTCCATCGCCCAGTGCGTGCTTCAAAGCGTCGTTTAAGTGACCACAAAACGCATCTAACACAAGCATGCTATAAAGACACAGCAGTGCACCTGGCTGACGGTTCCACACTACTCGTATTCATTCTAGCAACATGGCCTCCCCCATATATCTTTTTTGTTAACGCGAATAACGACACTGGGTGGAAAGACTACCTTAGGCGTTGTCTTACGTTTGAAAAAATTGAACGGTGGAAGCTTTCTACCATCTGTCATGCATGCCAGCATGACGGCGAAGCACGAGTGATCGCTGCCAATGGACAACAGCTTGATATCCTTGGCACCATGCTGCATGATCATGGTCGATGAAGGCATGTCGAACCACACAGGGGTCTCATCAGCATTGTCAATCTGCCCCATCATGTAGTTGTTCTGCTCCTGAAGCTGGTTTACGAAGCTCTGAAAATTTATTAGCCTTTCCTCGAACTCGTCTGGAAACTTCTGACAGGTAGATGTGCACCACCGAAAAGAAAATTTTTTGCGTCTCATCAATCGACGAACCGAGGAGTTTGGAGCAAAAAACTCTTCTCTAGTGAGCCCAGCTTCTCGAGCATGTTCCACGGCTTTCTTGCGAATGGTATCCGTGGTCACTGGCAGCGAGCACGCATGAACTCCCCACACAAAGTTCTCTGGCATATTTTCCAGCTGCGGAAGAACTGCACTTCGCCCACAAAACTACATTTTCCAACGATTGCACATCTGCAGCTTCCCTTTCTGCACCCTCCAATAGCGCACACATTTTACGGATACACCAAAGCGGCGCTGAGCAGCCATATTCCCATTCGCTTCTGCGAACTCAACAACCTCTAGTTTACAGGCAGCTGAGTACTGCCTTCTCGTACCGTTACTCGTATTCAGTGAACAAAAAAGACCACTAAAAATTAAACACAATGTCAAAAGGAGCGAGTACTTAGAACAGATCTGAGACAAATCACGAACACGAAAAAACAGACAACAGAGAAAAAACAACAACGTGCCAGTAGATTTGAATGCGATTATGACCGTATCTAGCTTCTCATGCACATGCAAGCCACATATTGCCAGAGAGCGGTGCACTGTCGGCTAGACACCACTCTATAAGACTAGGGGCGACTTTAGCACGTTTTATTGAAAATGTCTCGACTTATAGTCCGGTTATAGTTGATGGCACTTCATACTTTAGGCATCCAAGTGAAAATGTGTCACACTAAATAAATTATATAATATTGCTGGTTCGATCTATTATATTGATACAGTGTTTTCGTTATAGACAAGGTGCTACTCTTTGCAGACTAATAGGCTACTCAATTTAGCTTTATTTTCAGCCTTGAAAAATGTTGCAATACGCTGCAATTTTTTATAAAAAGCACAAATTTTTCGCAATACTGTTCTGTGTGAATGTTTTCTGTTTTATATGTTCCCTTATTTTCAGCATATGACAGACAACATTACATTTGCTTCACAAAATTTCTGTCTGGTGTTGTTCAATTTCATAATGCAGTGTCTGCATCACACAAGTTAGTGCTGTTGACAAAATTCGGGCGTTTCACTTCTGAAGCCCAGGCATGTGATTGGCACAGTTTATGGAACATGGATTTATTTTGTCATTCTATTTTCGTTCCCAGGTACAAGGGGCAGATCATCCCGACTAAACTGTGGTAAAGGTAGAGTCAGTGGAGTAGCTCGAAGGGTGCTCAGCCTTCTCAACATACTTTGAAGAATAAATGGAAGTGTTCACAAAAGCTTTCGTTGCATATTTCATGCAGTGCTATCCATGTTGAATTACAGTGCCATGGTGACGTAGACTACACTACAATTCATTATGACACATAATACACCTGTTTTCATGAACCAATATCGATAATGCATTGGGAGCCTGCTGTCTTCTTACAAACAAAATGCTACATTGATGGTCCAAAAATAACGTCAATTGACAAAGAGACGTTAAATGACACTACTTAGTAATTACTTTCATCTAAAATTGACATCTTTTCTAGGTCAAAGGTTTTCAATCGGACAGTTTAGTTGTGTGAAGAACACTAATAAAATGTCATTATGATGAAAGAATACTGTCATTTGCAAATGACGGCCTTTAGTTATTTTGACGTAAAAGTTATCAGCTTGACAGTTTGCTTGCATTTTGAAATGACGAAAACACATCAATTGATAAAATTGTGCCGTCATTTGAAAGTGACTGCCGGTCGTTATTTCGATGTAAATGTTGTCAATTTGATGGTTTGCTTGTATATTCCAAGTGCCTGGAAACATACCAAATAGACAAAATTGTGCCGTCATTTCAAAAGGACGGCCTGTCGTCATTTCGACGGTCATAAGATTGGAAATAAAGCTGCTGGCATATTTACCGTCATTTTGACACTTTTTTGCAGTGCAGAGTCAGTTGGTCACGTACCATCGAATCCCCGACGTCTTTAAAGTTGCACGTCTGCACTGCTATTGGTACATCTCTGAGGAACTGCTCCAAAGTTTCGTCTTGCTGCTGCAGGCGGGAACGCAAACATACCTTTCATACGTATCATTGTACTGTGGAGTGCAGTATTCCTCGAACTTTTTGACGATGGTGTCGTAACCCTCCTGTTCTGCTTGAGACAGATAAAATGTGTTGTACACTTCTACGCCTCACTGCCAGCCACGTGTATCAATACAGCAGCTTTTTCCACACTCGGCTTGCTGTCCTTGCCTGTCTCCTTGAGGTACAGCTGGATGCGCTGCTTGAACCTTTTCCAATTTTCGGCGGCGCTATCCGAGATAACCAGTCGGTCGGGGGGCGGAAGTGTTTCCATCTTGGCAGCTCGGGTGACGCTTGACGACGAGAACACTGTGCAACTGCGCGCGCACCGCCTATCGACGGCGAGCCACTTCTGACACCAAGCTTTGACTGACCACAGAGAGCCGGGGACTGACAAGGCGATAAAAACCCTGGTTTACTGTCACACGCTCTTTTTATGCTTAACAAACGGGCCACAGTTGCTAGAACACATTTCGTTACACAGTCTGGTGTACATAGCACTATACAAGAACTAATCGAAGCACTTGTGCAAGCACACTATCTGCGACTAGCCAGCACTGATACCGGAAGACATATACTTTCTTAACTACAAATTCGCATCTCCGCTAATTATGACTCTCTAAAACCAGAACCGAAAGAAATTCACGAAACATTCTGTACTCTGGACTGAATTCCATTTCGTCCATCTCTGCCAGTGCTGTGTGTTACGTGCTGTTTTTCACTTCGCTCATTCTATATTCAACCACTTTACCGTGACATAAACCGCGAGCGATGGAGAGCTGCAACTTTCCATAAAGAGTAAGAGAGCAGGATGGGAAGGATCCAGGGTAGATGCTGCATGCGATCAGCACGGAGCCACTGCAGTGGCCTGCACACCCAACACCGCTTCACTAAAAAAGTACTACGTCAAGGAGCACACCAAAAGTCGGAAGAGGTCACAATTGCGGTTAGACTTTTTAGTTCTAATGCTGAATGCATCCTAAACGATTCTAAAACTGCATAGCTAAATAAGGCTAGACCATAGTTCACTCTACCACCTAACACATGCTCACCTAAAATTCTCCTTCCTCCCACAGCGGTAAACTCCTCTGGACGCCCGCACATTCGTTGAAAGCCTAGAAATGAGACCGCCAATTGTTTAGTCCAAGGGTCGACAACCTGAGCACAGGTGGACCTCTTGGAGGGTTTCTCGAGGGAGCATGGGTGTATCTTTGCGGAGCTCACTCCGAACGCTCGAGCTGAAGACAGATAAACCCACCCCCTCACTCTTGCCATCTGTGCGATGCACCGAGGGCACGCCTCTCTCACATTATCCTGGCCTGTCCATCTTCTCCTCCGGGCAGGCCGATGTCACTCCAAACCTGGCAGGACTAGTGCTCGCTACGCTTTTGGGACCCGGCAAGGCAAAAGATCGCCACCGGCCAGGCTTTTAGGGTTATGACCAAATTAAACATGATTGTTTGCCTGTTGTTCGGTCGCACGAAGACCCTGGGGCCGGAGAGATCCTAAGCTTTTCTGCAAAAGTTTTTTTATTTCACTTGATTTGACTCACGTAGGTGGGCGAGGGAGAGTTACGACGCGCTGCAACAGTGTAGCTCATCGCTTGACGCACAAGCTGTGTAGGTTCACGTGTTGACAGAACTCACTGAATTGCCTGGCGCACAACAATGGCGATCAGCTTCACATAATGCTGTGAGAATGGCAATAATTTTCGCTTGTGGCACAAGCTGTGTTGGTTCACGTGCTGGAAGAACTGACCGAATTTTCTGGCACACAACATTGGCGATCAGCTCCACCTAATTATGTGAGAATGGCAATAATTTCCGCAGCTGCTCTCGAACGAGTGCTCTGCTGGTTTCGTGCAGGCCGTCGGAATGCAGCGTTCCCGGCCGACGCGACGTGACAAGCGACGCAGGACGGCTTCAATGTGTTCGGTTACGGCTTGTAGGAGGTGAAGAAATTTGTCTTGCCACAGGGAAGAATCGGAGGTGCAGGACGGCAGTGGCCACATAAACCCCATAGTTCCAACTCGAGCACTGCGTCGCAGAGCGTCGACACTAGGGCCTGGTCCTTCGAATGCATCGAACGAAGCTCCACCTGATCTTCACTCTCCTTCTTCTTCTCCTTACACCCCAAGACTTCGCAGCGTAGGCGCAATGTTTCATGAGCATTGGCGTCTTCGTCATCATCCCCCTCTTCTATCAAATCACACATGAGCCCTGCGGATCTTTGCGCGCTCACAACAAGCACTCCCCTCCTCAAGTTTCTCACCAGCGGGCTCCCCATCAGCACTCGAGGGAAGACTTATCTACGTGAAATCGGATGTTGTAGCTTATCATGTAGACTATGGGGGGAAAATGCCATACTGGCCAAGCACCGGTGGTGTATTTTATAGTAAAAGATGTGATGAATCAAGGCGAGCTCTTGATTGCAGATGTAGGGGACTGCACCAGGCAAGTTTGACGTTGCTGTTGTAAATGACATGAAATTTTTTTTTCGTAATCGAGAGGCACATAATAAGCCCAACCAATAAGATTTGTTGCCTCAAGAACTTCTTTTTATAGCACAATTTCGCTCAAGTTTCCAGTCAAAAGCCAGAGAATGCCATCGTGGTTTTGCCTAATATTGCACAACCAGTGCCTGGTGGAAAGTCTTCGACTAATTGGAATACCTTTTCTCTGTGCTGAGGTTCGCTATAGGTGGCGCCGACAAGAAGTGTTGTGTCCCTATGGGCTCGGCAAACATTCCGCCGTTATTGTGAAAATTTGTGTGTGTGGCCAATCCATGGCTTTTTGAAGTTGTTTCGTATCGATTGACACCAACCACTGCTGTAAGTGACTCGGACGTAATGTTTTAAACGCCCACAGGCACTTTGCTACCATGCGAGCTCGAAAAAACTATTGCTGTCAAGTAACCGGCTTTTGGAACGCTGCCTTGCCCGTTGCGCGTGCTCAATAGATTTAGCGGATGCACCCACTGACACTATTGTGCCTCCTGGACCTTCACAGATGACGGACACCCGACGCCTGGACTTTGATAATATAGATTTTCAAAACTCCACAGCTCACAGCCTTTCAACGCCAAATGAATTCAGCGATCAAAGCGATGGGACCAAGAGCCAAAACTAAGAGGATGTAGCCTGGCTAACGGTGCGCATTCTGCAGCAAAAAAAGCTTATGCGAAAGAGAAGGCCAAATCAGTGAAATTTTCGGTGATTTCTAAACCCAAATAAACTAAACGACATTTTCGCAAAGTGATCCTGATGAGATGCGATGCAGCAGCGTTGTGCAAAGGGTGGTGTCATGGGTTCAACGGCGCTAACGTGCGTTTAGTAATGAGCGCTGTGAGACTCGTTTGAAGGGATGGCAGGCGTAGGTCTTGTGGTTTTTTTAAAGTAGACACGACCGTTGCACCAGACGTGGCACGCGTTTTGCCTTGCCTATCACAACCTTGCGATCGGTGAAGTGCACACTGAGGGGTTCCTGCAGACATTCGACGTTGAACTTGGCCCAGGACCATATAAATGCACGTTCTCCTTATCGTGGTAGGTAGTTTACGTTCCCCCAAGACGCCCTTCAGCAAGTGCACGTCTCGCGTGTACTCGACGAGCCATTCGTCTCCTCCTCTGCTGACGTTAACGTTGAAGTCTTCAGCGACTACAGGCAGCGCTTGTCAACACGCCTCGCCACAATCAGTCAGCGTCTACATCAGCGAGCCCTGAACCTGTTCATTGGTCAGGTTAAGAGCGAGGTACAGCATGAGGATCGCGACGTCGCTGACGTGCATGGCAGCGCACTCAGTGCAGAGCATCTTCGAATGCTTCTGGGTCATTCTTCCAGGTCCCCGTAAAGGGGCGTAGCGCACGCCAACTACGAGCGTAAACAGTGACTCCTTTAACATAGCGAGCGATTGAGAGGGTAAAGCGAGAAAGATGACACGTGGTGAATCGCGACAGGCTAGGGAGAGTGACGTCAACGCACACGCACTGCGAGGGAAGACGTGACCTACTTGGCATCGCCCCAACAAGTGCGGTCAGGGGAGCACGGTGCGGACGGATGGACAGCGTTACACATGACAGTCAAAGAGCTGCTTGGCATCTAAAAGATCAACTGCTGAAGCAACCGCAAACTCTAAACATAGGCCACCCAACAGGCGGCTACCTTGCTTGCCCAAAGACGACTTCACTATAGCGATGCGACCACATCAAGAGCTTCC